GTAGGTTTTGAACTCCCTCTCTCACCAGCGCTGTCCTCGAAGAGCGCCCAACGGTGTTCTTTGGGTCCAGCAGCTGATGAGCTTTTCCCTGTATTGGTCTTTTCCACCGGCAGCTAATGATCTTTTCCTTGGGTCTTGTTGATCTTTTTCTCCAGCCACCGATGTACTTTTCCGTGTGACCTATTTCCTTTTGGGTGAGCTTTTCGCCACATCTCTTGGGTCTTGTTTGACAAGGAAAACGGTGTATCCCACCCACTTGTCTTCGACCCACTTGGTCTCCCAGTCAAAATCCAAGATTATTTTTCGCTCGTTGCTGTCCAGGGTATTCCACAAAAATGTGACCCGGTAAGGATCCAACTGGTCGACCTTTTTCGGTAAAGTGGGGTGATCTGGATGAAATGAATTCTGTCTCCATTTGTAATGGATTCTTGTGATGATTCGTCCATAGTCACAAGACCAAAGTAGCTGGTTGCCAGGGGGAGCATGGTCGGAGGTATATTTTATACCAGATTGTTTTTAAGGGGGCTTGGTGCATATTTTGAGTAGGGGACAGTGATTGTTTATGATAGTTGAAGAAGTTAAGCTAGAACTATTGTTGGAAATTAGGCCATAAATCTGCATTGCATTCTGAATAAGCCTATTGACATTCATATTCTACATAATGTTTTATGCTGTTCCGGGACGTTGCTATTAAAGTTTACATAGCTTCCGGAAGGAAAATTTAGTTTTAATAGCTCCCGGCACTGGGTTCATAGTTTGAATCTCCTAGGACCCTGGTTAACGTTTGAGGTCTTCAGAAGCGTGCTTTTATGTTTTAAGATGCGCCTCTGCCCCGGCTGACAATTCTTATTACTCGTTGCCATGCCACATTCAACATCTTTATGGACATTTTAGAATTGTATAGATTCCAGCATTGCAGAGAGCGGCTAAAGATGCGAACGTGAAGAATGTGAACTACGCTCTGGAGGGCCTGGGGCCTCAGAGCTCTTGGGTTTCTCAGGTGAGTTAAGCTGAATTTTCTTGTGTGGCCGTAGAGCCACACCTTGCATTTCATCAATGGTAGAGCTAAAAATCGTGCCAGTGATCGGGTTGTTGGCATATTTTCCGTCAGAGAAACGTTCCTAGTTTGAATTTTACTCTCCATGCTTTTCACCGCTGTGAGGCCCATGCCCTGTTGGAAAGAGAACCACTGCGACTCGAGGCGCGCCGTTCAGCACATTAAGCGTGAGGCACATTAAGCTCGGGGTAGGGCACATTAAGCTCGTCTCATCAATGCGTGCTCTCCTGTACCTGCAGCTTTTTTGCCTTCCAAGCCCACTGGTTAGCCTCAACTTGGTCACCATGGCCCGTACCCGTGCCTGCTCAAAGCCTGCTGGCAAGACAAAGAAGGATCTCAAGCAGCAGCTCAAAGCTGAAAAGCAGATCAAGAAGAACGAGAAATGTTTAGAGAAAGCCTTGTCAGCATACCAGAAACAAGGGCATCAGACAGACTTTGACTTCATCATAGCACAGCTCGAGCAGACTCCGAAATGGGTCGCACCGCTGGCCCAGTTGATTCGCCACGGCGCGATGGGTGTGCTGTTGAAGACCGGCAGCATGGAGGCTGAGAAAACGGAGGTTCGTCATTTGGGTGAGAAGTGGCAGGGCAAAGCGAAGCGGATCTTGCAGCTACCTTTAGAAGTTCTTGTGTCTATGTTGGAAAAGGCAAAGTTGAAACTCTCCGAGGACGATGCCACGGATGAAGCCACAGTCCTGAAATGCTGCCGTGCGCAGTTTTGGATCACCGACCAGACGCCATTGCCGCAGCACCAGAACATCAAGTTCGTGTCGACTCTGCTGCAGTTTGCGGAGGAGCGACACAAGGAACTTGGCTTCAGCCATTTTAGTGAGAAGAGTGATCTCACGCAGCCCATGTGGACAATTGATGACGAGCACAACTTGGTATGGAACTGTGCTGAAGGAGCCGAGGTGACGTCAATCACCTTGCCCCAGCTTCCGGAAGGTGAGTGGAGCCTGAGTGATGAGAACTCTCCCGACTGTATGGTGCTTTCGGAATCCCACAAAAAGTTCACCTTTGACTGTCGTGGTTTCTTCCCCGACGTGGAAGAGGTGAATCCAAGTCTCCGATGGAAGATTCAACTGGCTCCTTCTTCTTCTGAGCTTGAGAGTGCCGGGAGCAAGGGTAGTGGCTTAGCTTTTGAAGTCTCTCCAAAGAAAGCGTGACATAGGATGCCAGTTGGATGAGACCGGGTAGTTGGATGTGGCCTTGTGACGACCACATCTCGTCATGTTGGCTTGGAAAGTTTCACTCTTAGGGGTAAAGGTATATAGGTATAGGGGCACGCACCAAAGGCTGTCTCAGATGTTTGCCCATTTGAGATGTGCTTGCATGGAGTTCCACAAAAAACTAACTATACATTATACACACACACAAGCACACAGAAAGTTTCTACTTCTTTGCGGTCAGTGGTGCATGTTAAGCAGATGTAAACACCTGCTATTCGGGGAAACAGCGGCCAGACTTGAAAGCCAACACTGGCATTCCGACGCAGCAGCACGTTCAAAAATGTCAGCTTACGGCCATTTGCTGCCCGACAGTCCTTTGTTTGACAAACATTGCCCTCAACTGACAAGACTTTCCTCGTGCAACTGACTCTCTTCTGCTGCTCGGCAAGCATCTCGCGAATCTGCGTGCCCGACAATCCGATCTGGCGCAGGCAGTGGATGAGAAACTTGCCGGGGGAATGGGGCAGAGGATGTGTTCGGGCGAGCCTGTCTGAGATTGCATTTTCTTGTGGTTGGTTTGCTCTCATTGTTTTGGGTATCTGACTAGTTTCAACCGCAATATTTGTGTCAGCCCGATGAAAACAACTTTCTTGCACGGATTCTTAGACTGTTTCAAACGTGGTCCACAAGGATTATCTATGGATTATCGTATCCATGGATTATATACGTATCAAGGGTAAGCTTTTCTGTCTGCATGCATGTTGCTGAAGCACGATCTCTCTAGTCTGGTCGGGTTTTCCCCTGTTAGTTTGACATGTAGAATTCGATATTTAAATATAATGATATATATATATATATACATACATTGTTTTTTAACTGTATACGTATATGTATATATATATATACCCATGTTGTTTTTCCAACAAGAATTTTTCACGAAAATAACTATAATCTCTCCATCTATCATTTTCGCTGGCCACACACACACAAACACGTCCCCACGGCTCCGCTGTGCCTAGGTGCTTCCTTGGGGGTGGTGGGCAACCCCCCAGCGTTGGAGGAGCCTGGTCCAGGCGTCGGAGGAGCCTGGTCTCTAGCAACTACCATTCTTTTGGGGGACAGACTGTTCTGGACGTCCTTTTTTGAACTATTCCCAGCCTTTTTTCTATATTCCCTTTCTGGCCTTATGAGCTATTCCATTGTCATTTGCATGTGCAGGCGTGGCTTCTGCGAGCAACCGCAGACGAGTTCTCCTTGTGGGCAGGCGCGTTTTCCAGTTTGCAGGTGCTTGTCATCAGACGAATGATAGGCCGTCCTTGGGTCCATTGCCTTTCACCTCCTAGCTTCAGACAATTGCCAAGCATGGATCTCCGTGAGACAGATGTCACCACGCGTGTCCCAAGACAAGGCTCCAAGGACCAAAGGTGCATGCATCAATTTAGGTCAAATCCATGTTACAGGTACATATGCGCCTGAACTTGAAAAGATTTGAGAAGCCTTGATTCTTTGAGGTGATATTTCCCAGGCATGCTCTATTTGTATTTATATCTATATATACGAATAAACACATCATTTGTTATATTTACATATTCGTATAGGCCGCGAAAGGGCTGCATATATACTGTTCGAAGACACCTCTTTTCGCAGACCGCGTTTTGCACTGCGTGCCATGGACCCAGAGTCCCAGCACTCTTGGGAGAAGACAACCTTTGCATTTTCCATAGCTTGTGGGGTTTGTCCCAGTTTTCAGACCGAAGCCTACCTGTTTCATCAGCCGCAATTTGAAGGAGGCACAGTCTTCTGGGTTCTCCGATGGGCCATAGATTACCTTGGGGGCAATCGGACACGAAATTTTATTGGACAGTCCGCCCAGACATGGCGAAACAAGATCGCTGCCGGACTAGAGGCACTTGGTCAAGAACCAGAGCTCAGCAGTCGCCACGTTCTAACTTCTACCTGGTCTGAGTTGCAAAGGCAGACGCCTAGCAAAAGAAAAGATGTTAGTGAGGACACAGTCGCACAGCAGGAAGCTTCACAGGCAGGAACCATGTTGCAAGATTATTCCATTTCAACATTCGGGCTCCTGTACCTGTTGTCTTGGTGGGCGGCGCACGGCCCGAGAGCGACTACAACCTGGAATTTGGAGGCGTCTGAATTTTGCCAGCGATGTCGTTCCATTATCTCTGGTCTTGCTTCCTTGTTTGTCCAACAAGGGACAAAGAAGCACTCCAAGGTAGTCTCTGGCTTCGATTTGCTCTTGTCAAGTCATGCTTCTGGACATGGGCTTTTGCATGTGGCCAACCTGCTTGATTCAGAGAAGGGCAGCAACCTCAAGAAAACTTTTGCCGGCAAGAACACGGTGCCTCTGGACGAAGCCTTCTTGCAGTTGGCCTCTGACAGTGGTGCAAAAGGGTTGGGAACGAAGCGGCGTGATGCTGCGACAGAAGCACATGCCAACTTGTGTTGGTTTGTGGCGGAACTGGTTGAGGCAAGTGGTGCTCGGAAAGATTCTGTATGGCAGCGAACCCAGTTGCATCAGCTTGATCAGTTGAGGACGCAGCGCTTCGTGTTCATGATGGGTGGCTGTGGGAATCGGGTGTCCACATGTTTTCTCGCCCATGCTCCTTCCACCAGCTCTTTTGTATTTCAGCTCCTTTGTATTTCATTGCTGTACTCGCTTCAGAGATTATTCGTCAACTAAGACTTCAATTCAGTTTCCATACATTAGCTAGATTTTTTTTTGCTACGTTCCACATAGCCCCGCCTTGTTGCAGGACAGCACGCGGATATCGGAAGTCTAGTCATGGCTTCAAGAACGCAATTGTTCAGGCAACAGGGCAGGCACACATGAGGAGTATTTCCACGGTCTTAGCAAGCCAAGCTGTGATGACTGGCGAAGGGCCGGTGAGTGATCGCGCTGTGCGCGCTGCAGCACGAAACCCAGATCAGTACATGCGGTGCGAACGGTATGGCTATTTGACTTCTGCCCGCAAGGCCTTCAAGGACCAGCGCATCGTCTCTCTTTGTGCAGATGGCGTGCATGTTGGTGATGAAGATTGGCTGAATGTCGCCATGTGGTCACCTGAGCGAGAATGTGCTTGCTTTTTGCCTCCTCAGGCCAGGTCCTTGTTTTTCTACCTGGGACCCCGCTTCGGGAGGGGATCAGCTCCGCACCCCGCTTCCGGGTGGGTATCCGAGTCACTTCCCTGCAACCCGCTTCCGTTCCGTTCCTTTCCTTTCGGTCCAAGCAAACTCCTTTTTCTACCGTTTCGTTCCGAGCTTCAAAACACATGGCAGACATGAATAGATTGCGCATGGATTGTAGTTGGAACCTGGATAGAGGCAAGTACAGTTCGTGGTGGTTTTGTTCCCATATTTAACCTATTGTCACAATATCGTCCGACACCACATCGGATGCATTTTTACACGGGCCGGAAACGCATTGGTGACTTCCGAGGGGATTTGCCGTGGATGCTTCTATATAATTTGAACTTTTCATTTCGGGCGCTATTTCATTTCACCGGGGCAACCAATGCGGAGCGTCAGATTCAAGGCGCCCTCTGGGGTGCCTTGTGGCTCCTCCAAAGCCTGCTGTCGTGGGTTTTACTGTCAGAACATGTCATGATCTGTTCCCCCAAAATATTTGCCAAAACCACACCAGATGCATTTTTACCCCGGCCGGAAACGCATTGGTGACCACGAAGGGAATTTGCCGGGGATGATTCTATAGTTTTTTTTTCATTTCGGGAGCTATCTCATTCCACTGGGGCAAACAATGCGGAGCGTCAGATTCAAGGCGCGCTGTGGGGTGCCTGGTGGCTTCTGCAAAGCTTGCTGTCGTGGGTTTCACCGTCAGAACATTTCATGATCTATCCCCCCAAAATATCTTCGCGCCACAACATCAGATGCATTTTTAGGGGGGCCGGAAACGCATTGGTGACCACGAAGGGAATTTGCCGGGGATACTTCTATAGAACTTAAATGTGTTTTTTGGGGGGCTATTTCACTTCACCGGGGTAACCACTGCGGAGCGTCAGATTCAAGGCGCGCTGTGGGGTGCCTTGTGGCTCCTCCAAAGCCTGCTGTCGTGGATTTTACTGTCAGAACATGTCATGATCTGTTCCCCCTAAAATATTTTTCTAAACGCACATCAGATGAATTTTCACAGGGGCCAGAAACGCATTGGTGACCACGAAGGGAATGTGCCGGGGATACTTAGGCTTCTATATATAGAACTTAAATGTGTTTTTTCGGGGGCTATTTCATTTCACCGGGGCAACCAATGCGGAGCGTCAGATTCAAGGCGCCCTCTGGGGTGCCTTGTGGCTCCTCCAAAGCCTGCTGTCGTGGGTTTTACTGTCAGAACATGTCATGATCTGTTCCCCCAAAAATATTTAAAACCACATCGGATGCATTTTCACAGGGGCCATAAACGCATTGGTGACCACGAAGGGTATTTACCGGGGATGATTCTATAGAATTATTTTTTTTCATTTCGGGAGCTATTTCATTTCACTGGGGCAAACAATGCGGAGCGTCAGATTCAAGGCGCGCTGTGGGGTGCCTTGTGGCTCCTCCAAAGCCTGCTGTCGTGGGTTTTACTGTCAGAACATGTCATGATTTGTTCCCCGAAAATATTTTCTAAAACCACATCGGATGCATTTTCACAGGGGCCATAAACGCATTGGTGACCACGAAGGGAATTTGCCGGGGATGATGCTATAGAATTAAATTTTTTCATTTCGGGAGCTATTTCATTTCACTGGGGCAAACAATGCGGAGCGTCAGATTCAAGGCGCGCTGTGGGGTGCCTGGTGGCTTCTGCAAAGCTTGCTGTCGTGGGTTTCACCGTCAGAACATTTCATGATCTATCCCCCCAAAATATCTTCGCGCCACAACATCAGATGCATTTTTACGGGGGCCGGAAACGCATTCGTGACCACGAAGGGAATTTGCCGGGGATACTTCTATAGAACTTAAATGTGTTTTTTTGGGGGGTATTTCACTTCACCGGTGTAACCAATGCGGAGCGTCAGATTCAAGGCGCGCTGTGGGGTGCCTTGTGGCTCCTCCAAAGCCGGCTGTCGTGCGTTTTACTGTCAGAACATGTCATGATCTGTTTCCCAAAATAGTTTCTAAACCCACATCGGATGCATTTTCACAGGGGCCATAAACGCATTGGTGACCACGACGGGAATTTGCCGGGGATGATTCTATAGAACTTAAATGTGTTTTTTGGGGGGCTATTTCACTTCACCGGGGTAACCAATGCGGAGCGTCAGATTCAAGGCGCGCTGTGGGGTGCCTTGTGGCTCCTCCAAAGCCTGCTGTCGTGGATTTTACTGTCAGAACATGTCATGATCTGTTCCCCCTAAAATATCTTCGAAAACCACACCAGATGCATTTTTATAGGGGCCGGAAAGGCATTGGTGACCACGAAGGGAATTTGGGGCTGCTTCAGAGAACTTACATCATTCCTTTCGGGGGCTATTTCACTTCACCGGGGTAACCAATGCGGAGCGTCAGATTCAAGGCGCGCTGTGGGGTGCCTGGTGGCTTCTGCAAAGCTTGCTGTCGTGGGTTTCACTGTCAGAACATGTCATGATCTATCCCCCCAAAATATGTTCCAAAACCACACCAGATGCATTTTTACCCCGGCCGGAAACGCATTGGTGAGCAAGAGGGGAATTTACCGGGGATACTTCTATAGAACTTAAAGTAGGTATTTCGGGCGCTATTTCATTTCACCCGGGTTACTAATGCGGAGCGTGAGATTCTAGGCGCGCTCTGGGGTGCCTGGTGGCTTCTGCAAAGCTTGCTGTCGTTGGTTTTACTTTCAGAACATGTCATGATCTATTCCCCCAAAATATCTTCGCGCCACAACATCAGATCCATTTTTACGGGGGCCGGAAAGGCATTGGTGACCACGAAAGGGATTTGCCGGGGATGATTCTATGGAATTAATTTTTTCATTTCGGGAGCTATTTCATTTCACCGGGGCAACCAATGCGGAGCGTCAGATTCAAGGCGCCCTCTGGGGTGCCTTGTGGCTCCTCCAAAGCCTGCTGTCGTGGGTTTTACTGTCAGAACATGTCATGATCTATTCCCCAAAAAAATCTTCCAAAACCACACCAGATGCATTTTTACCCCGGCCGGAAACGCATTGGTGACCACGAAGGGAATTCACCGGGGATACTTCTATAGAACTTAAATTAGGTATTTCGGGGGCTATTTCCTTTCACCGGGGCAACCAAAGCGGAGCGTCAGATTCAAGGCGCGCTGTGGCGTGCCTTGTGGCTCCTCCAAAGCCTGCTGTCGTGGGTTTTACTGTCAGAACATGTCATGATTTGTTCCCCCAAAATATCTTCGCGCCACAACATTAGATGCATTTTCACAGGGGCCAGAAACGCATTGGTGACCACGAAGGGAATTTGCCGGGGATACTTAGGCTTCTATATATAGAACTTAAATGTGTTTTTTCGGGGGCTATTTCATTTCACCGGGGCAGCCAATGCGGAGGGTCAGATTCAAGGCGCGCTGTGGGGTGCCTTGTGGCTCCTCCAAAGCCTGCTGTCCTGGGTTTTACTGTCAGAACATGTCATGATCTGTTCCCCCAAAATATTTAAAACCACATCGGATGGATTTTCACAGGGGCCATAAACGCATTGGTGACCACGAAGGGAATTTACCGGGGATGATTCTATAGAATTAAAATTTTTCATTTCGGGAGCTATTTCATTTCACTGGGGCAAACAATGCGGAGCGTCAGATTCAAGGCGCGCTGTGGGGTGCCTCATTACTTCTGCAAAGCTTGCTGTCGTGAATTTTACTTTCAGAACATGTCATGATCTATTCCCCCAAAATATCTTTGCGCCACAACATCAGATGCATTTTTAGGGGGGCCGGAAACGCATTGGTGACCACGAAGGGAATTTACCGGGGATGATTCTATAGAATTATTTTTTTTCATTTCGGGAGCTATTTCATTTCACTGGGGTATTTAATGCGGAGCGTCAGATTCAAGGCGCGCTGTGGGGTGCCTTGTGGCTCCTCCAAAGCCTGCTGTCGTGGGTTTTACTGTCAGAACATGTCATGATTTGTTCCCCCAAAATATCTTCGCGCCACAACATTAGATGCATTTTTACGGGGGCCGGAAACGCATTGGTGACCACGAAGGGAATTTGCCGGGGATACTTCTATAGAACTTAAATGTGTTTTTTTTGCGTGGTATTTCACTTCACCGGGGTAACCAATGCGGAGCGTCAGATTCAAGGCGCGCTGTGGGGTGCCTTGTGGCTCCTCCAAAGCCTGCTGTCGTGGGTTTTACTGTCAGAACATGTCATGATCTGTTCCGCCAAAATAATTTCTAAAACCACATCGGATGCATTTTCACAGGGGCCATAACCGCATTGGTGACCACGAAGGGAATTTGCTGGGGATGATTCTATAGAATTAAATTTTTTCATTTCGGGAGCTATTTCATTTCACTCTGGTATTTAATGCGGAGCGTCAGATTCAAGGCGCGCTGTCGGGTGCCTGGTGGCATCTCCGGAGCCTGATAGCTGTATTTGATTTTGTTTATGCCATCCAAAATATTTACCAAAACCATATCGGATGCAATGTTAAGGGAATCAAAAACGCAGTGGTGACCACGAAGAGAATTTCGTGGCGATGCTTCATAGGACAGGATAGATGGATGATGGATGGACAGGTGGCCGGATGGACAGGATAGATAGATAGATAGATAGATAGATAGATAGCTAGATAGCTAGATAGCTAGATAGCTAGATAGATAGATAGATAGAGAGAGAGATAGAGAGATAGATAGATAGATAGATAGATAGATATATAGATAGATAGATAGATAGATAGATAGATAGATAAGGGAACTCCTGGTGTGTCCCAGGGGCGTGTTGCGAAGCCAGCGACGCTTCGTCATGGGTCCGGGTGAACCGCCTGGAGCCCAGAAGTCATGGGATCCCCGGATGACATAGAGGTTAACCTATTAGAGGTTAACCCATGGTGACTGGGGATATTATTATATATATACACATTATTGTATATATATATATTATTATTAGTATTATTATTATTATCCTTTTTTTTATGCAATTACA